CGCGCAGGACATAATCCCTCCCAAGAGGGGCCCTTCTAGCTACTCTTGTTGCGCAGCAAGCGGATCCTAGCTAACGTCCCATGCAAAACACACAAGAGGCAAGATGATAAACAAACAGAAAAACGTTACTCTTATTAGCAGAGATAAAACATAAACTTGCAGTGTTGCATACAAACATCAAACAATGCAACAAACTTACATAGTCCTTGTAAGAAACATAGGATAAAGCATCTTCATCTTCTATCAAATGAGAGAGCAAAACATAAACCTTGAGAAAATAACTATTTCACCATAGCCTCCTTCAGAGCAGCATTACATCTTCTCCCAACTGCTCCCCAGAGCAAAGGCCTTGAGCATAGAGCTCCTCAAAGCAAAAGCTGAACTGTATTCTAAAATCCATACAGTTATACCCCACCAAACAGCTTCTCCAAACTGCTCCCCAGAGCACAGCCTTGGAGCATAGAGCTCCTCAGAGCAAAAGCGGAACTGTATTCTAAAATCCATAGAGTTATACCCCACCAAACAGCTTCTCCAAACTGCTCCCCAGAGCACAGCCTTGGAGCATAGAGCTCCTCAGGGCAAAAGCTGAACTGTATTCTAAAATCCATAGAGTTATACCCCACCAAACAGCTTCTCCAAACTGCTCCCCAGAGCAAAGCCTTTGAGAATAGAGCTCCTCAGAGCAAAAGCTGAACTGTATTCTAAAATCCATACAGTTATACCCCACCAAACAGCTTCTCCAAACTGCTCCCCAGAGCAAAGCCTTGGAGCATATTTATTTATTTACTGTATTTTTATACCGCCTTTCTCAGCCAATTGGAGACTCAAGGCAGTTTCCAACAAATCAGTACACATAAAATCATAATACAGAATAAGACATTAAAAACAGTTTAAAAAACAACAAGAGCAATAAAAAACATCATTAGTGTCTCAATATTATGAAGCATTGTCCAGTTCCATCGTCAAGTCATTCGATTTCCAATATATTGGCCACTCTGCATTTGTAAATGCTTCCTCGAACAACCATGTTTTAACTTACGTCCAAAACGTTAAGAGGGTGGGAGCCGATCTGATCTCCTTAGGAAGGGTGTCCCATAGCCGAGGGGCCACCACTGAGAAGGCCCTGTCTCTCATCCCCGCCGGGACGATCTTAAAGCATAGAGCTCCTCAGAGCAAAAGCTGAACTGTATTCTAAAATCCATACAGTTATACCCCACCGGGTGTGGCCCAAACATGCTGGCAGACCTACATTACCAGCTACACATAATTATTACCATCCTAAGGTTTTTCTTCAACACACACTTGATCCTGCTGCGACTTACTGTAAGAAGCCTGACCTCAGAAGAGGAGCAGGGCCAGTCCTGGTGGGGACCCGGGTGGGAGACTTCCAGGAGGGCTTCAGGCTAGACCTTCCAGACCATGACGGAAAGAGCCAGTGGTGGACTGGGCCATGGGACTCTTTTATTAGCTCCACATGGAAAGAAAGACTGACAGCCCATTGTATCAAAGAGATAATGCCAAATTTACACAGCAGTGTCATTCCCTTTTAATAGGTTTCAGGTGGATCAAACAAGCTTTATTCCTATTGGTCCCTTAACACGTCTGTTTTATATTGTTATTACTGTATTTGATTTATGAGTAGGTTTCAAAGTGTGTGTTTTTAAAGCTGTAACCATGTGTGTCTAAAACTGTCTAGCATGTATAGAGTTAACAAACCACAGAGTTTTGAATGTTTCCTAGAAAGGTATGTGTATTAACTTCCTGCTTCCTCTGTGGGAGACCGGATGTCTGAATGGAATGTGGGAGGTGTGTCTATTGCTGTGAAGAAGAAAGCTGAGAGTCGCCATTCCTGATTGATGCTTTTTACCGGAGCAGTTGTGTAGTCCGGCAGCTGTATCCACGACTGAGTAGCCCTTTGAGGACCCACTAGAAAAAGTGCCCTGAACATAGTCTGCCTCTCTTATCCCTGACTGGACTGCCGTGTCCAGAGAGGTCACCGCCCTCCGGCCAAAAATCAAAAATGAACTTTGGAACATACGGACACTGACGGACAGTGAACAGTCCGAACTGCTATCATTGCAAAGGAGCTGGGGCGCTTTACCATCGACAGAGCAGCACTTCAGGAGACCCGAAGAACAGGGTCACCTGAAGAAAGAAAATGGAGGCTACACCTTCTTTTGGAAGGGACTGCATGAAGAAGAACGAAGAATACACAGAGTGGGCTTTGCTATCAGAAATGACCTGGTCAAGGATAGGGCTTCACTGTCACCTCCGTATGCTCCATCAAGACACTACGCTTGGAAGGCCCTCATACTCAGAGAACGAGGGATCACCTAAGTGAAACCCTATTTCTTCTCTTCTTGATGGCAGTCAACTATATACATAACTTATTTAGTTAAGATATAATAATAGATTAGTAACATACATGTAAATATTTACAATTATCATTCACGTAGGATCTACACATAATAAATCTTCTTGGCATTATAAATTTTTCTACTTTTAATTCAGAAATATTAAGTCATTAACTTTCCAAAACTTTTTTTGCTCTTAGATATACAAGTTATATAGTTTATACAAATGTATTATCTCATAACACTTTTAGTTCACAAATTCGATTGCCGTTCTTGTGTATTATCTTCTTGTAGAATTAAAGTTAATTTGTCATTTCAGCCATTTAAAATAAATTTAATCCATTCCTCTGGTGTTGGTGTTCTTTGTTTTTTCCATAGTTTTGCATATTCAATTCTTGCTGCTGTGGTCATAGAATCAGAGAGTTGGAAGAGACCTCATGGGCCATCCAGTCCAGCCCCATTCTGTCAAGAAGCAGGAATATTGCATTCAAAGCACCCCTGACAGATGGCCATCCAGCCTCTGTTTAAAAGCTTCCAAAGAAGGAGCCTTTACCACACTCCGGGGCAGAGAGTTCCACTGCTAAACAGCTCTCACAGGAAGTTCTTCCTGACGTTCAGACAGAATCTCCTTTCTTGTAGTTTGAAGCCATTGTTCCACGTCCTAGTCTCTAGGGCAGCAGAAAACAAGCTTGCTCCCACCTTCATATGAGTTCTTCTCACATATTTATACATGGCTATCAACCAAGGCAGAATAGAGTATGGGGGCATGACTTCCCTAGATCTGGACATTAGGCTCCTATTGATGCAGGCCAAAATCCCATTGACTTTCATTTTGTGAGAAGACCGAGGCAAAGAAGGCATTAAGTAGTTCTGCCTTTTCCCTATCCCCTGTCAGCATTGCCCCATCTTATTCTCAAAGAGTCCCTATCACCACCTGGTTCTTCCTTTTTCTACTGACATAAGAACAGAAGCCCTTTTTATTGTTTGTAATGTCCCTGGCAAGCCTGTTCCTGTTTTGTGCTTTAGCCCTGCGAACCTTTTCCCTATTGGCTATTTGTTTGAATTCTTCTTTGGTGATTTCTCCCTTTTGCCACTTCTTGTGCATGTCTCTTTTGAGTCTGAGAACAGTTAAAAGTTCTTTGCAAATCCATTCTGGCTTCTTTGCACTTGTCCTGTTTTTTCTCTTTGTTGGCATTGTTTGTAATTGCGCCTTGAGTATTTCACTCTTGAAAAACTCCCATCCATCCGTAATTCCTCATGAAAGAATCTTCATGTTATTAAGGAAGTGGTCTGCAAACACTTAGAAACAAATGCGATCATCACTAATAGTCAACATGGATTTATCAAAAACAAGTCATGCCAGACTCATCTGATCTCTTTTTGCGATAGAGTTACATGCTGGGTAGATGCGGGGAATGCCGTGGATGGAGCGTACCTGGATTTCAGGAAGGCCTTCGACAAGGTTCCCCACGACCTCCTGGCAAACAAACTAGTCCAATGTGGGCTAGGCACAACTACGGTGAGGTGGATCTGGAATTGGTTAAATGGACGAACCCAGAGGATAACTAATGCTTCCTCTTCATCTTGAAAAGAAGTGATGAGCGGAGTGTCGCAGGGTTCCGTCCTAGGCCCGGTCCTGCTCAGGATCTTTATTAATGACTTAGATGAAGGGTTAAAAGGCAGGATCATCAAGTTTACAGATGACACCAAATTGGGAGGGATAGCCAATACTCCAGAGGACAGGAGCAGGATTCAAAACGATCTTGACAGATTAGAGAGAAGGGCCAAAACCAACAAAATGAAGTTCAACAGGGACAAATGCAAGATACTCCACTTAGGCAGAAAAAATGAAAAATACAGAATGGGGGACAATGCCTGGCTTGAGAGCAGTACGTGTGAAAAAGATCTTGGAGTCCTCGTGGACAACAAGTTAAACATGAGCCAACAATGTGATGTGGCGGCAAAAAAAGCCAATGGGATTTTGGCCTGCATCAATAGGAGCATAGTGTCTAGATCTAGGGAAGTCATGCTCCCCATGCTCTGTTCTGCCTTGGTTAGACCACACCTGGAATATTGTGTCCAATTCTGGGCACCACAATTCAAGAGAGATATTGACAAGCTGGAATATGTCCAGAGGAGGGCGACTAAAATGATCAAGGGTCTGGAGAACAAGCCCTATGAGGAGCGGCTTGGGGAGCTGGGCATGTTTAGCCTGAAGAAGAGAAGGCTGAGAGGAGATATGATAGCCATGTATAAATATGTGAGAGGAAGCCACGGGGAGGAGGGAGCAAGCTTGTTTTCTGCTTCCTTGGAGACTAGGACACAATGGAACAATGGCTTCAAACTACAAGAGAGGAGATTCCATCTGAACATGAGGAAGAACTTCCTGACTGTGAGAGCCGTTCAGCAGTGGAACTCTCTGCCCCGGAGTGTGGTGGAGGCTCCTTCTTTGGAAGCTTTTAAACAGAGTGGATGGCCATCTGTCAGGGGTGATTTGAATGCAATATTCCTGCTTCTTGGCATGGGGTTGGACTGGATGATGGCCCAGGAGGTCTCTTCCAAATGTTTGATTCTATGTAGAAGAAGATTCTTTCCTGGTGATTTGGGGTTTGCTTGTCCAAAATTCCCATTAGAAAAAGGTTCTGGTTTCAGTATTACTTACTTTTTTATTTTGTTTCAATAAAATATGCACTTTTATCTAGAAGGCTTTAGCCTTTCAGCAAGTTCATAAATTCAGTTTTTTTAATTTATCTTCTGCGATTTTTCTCAAGCTATGTAACATCTGTGGATCCTTTTGTAAAACTTTTCTTTAACAGAGTAACTTCTTGTAAATTGTAAGCTATTCTGGGTGAAGTTCTTTCCACACTCCAGGCATTTAGAGGGTTTCTCCCCAGTGTGAGTCCTTTCATGTGTACGTAGACTGCTACTATGAGTGAAGCTCCTTCCACGCTCCAGGCATTTATAGGGTTTCTCCCCAGTATGACTTTATTGGTGTTTATGTAGATTTCCACTATGAGTGAAGCTCTTTCCACATTCCAGGCATTTATAGCGTTTCTCACCAGTTTGAATCCTTTCATGACTCTGCAGAGAATGCTCCCAACTGAAACTCTTTCCACACTACAGGCATTCATAGGGTTTCTGCCCAGTGTGAGTGGGTTGATGTGAATGTAGGTGTGAACTCTCAGCAGAGCTCTGTCCACATTCCAGGCAGTTATAGGGTTTCTGCCCAGTGTGAGTTCTGTAGTGAGACCGCAGATTCCCATGCCAAGCGAAGCTCTTTCCACACACCACGCATATATAGGGTTTCTCCCCAGTGTGAGTTCGTTGGTGTTCATGTAGACTTCCACTATAAGTGAAGCTCTTTCCACATTCCAGGCATTTATAGGGTTTCACCCCAGTGTGAATCCTTCCATGTTGCTGCAGATGATGTCTCAAAGTGAAACTCTTTCCACACTCCAGGCATTCATAGGGTTTCTCCCCAGTGTGAGTGCGTTGATGACTACGTAGGCGTGAACTCTGAGCGAAGCTCTCTCCACATTCCAGGCATTTATAGGGTTTCTCCCCAGTGTGAGTTCTTTGATGTGAACGGAGGTTTGAACTCTGAGTGAAGCTCTCTCCACATTCCAGGCATTTATAAGGTTTCTCTCCAGTGTGAGTTCGTTGATGTGAACTCAAATCTCCACTCTGAGTGAAGCTCTTTCCACACTCTAGGCATGTATAGGGTTTCTCCCCAGTGTGAATCCTTTCATGTTGCTGGAGATGATGTCTCAAAGTGAAACTCTTTCCACATTCCAGGCATGTATAGGGTTTCTCCCCAGTGTGAGTTTGCTGGTGTTTATGTAGATTTCCACCATCAGTGAAGCTCTGTCCACATTCCAGGCATTTATAAGGTTTCTCTCCAGTGTGAGTTCGTTGATGTGAACAGAAATCTCCACTCTGAGTGAAGCTCTTTCCACACTCCAGGCATGTGTAGGGTTTCTCCCCAGTGTGAGTCCTTCGATGTGGCTGGAGACTTTGTTTGTGTTTGAAGCTCTTTCCACACTCCAGGCATTTATAGGGTTTCTCCTGCATGTTGACAGTGGTATGTATTTTTAACTGCAATATGGACACTTCTGTCTTCTTTTCCCTTTCTTTTTCCCCAAAGTCAGATCAGTAAGATCAGCACCTGGAGAGGATGTCTTTTTCATACAGGACCCTTTTCCTTACAGCTTCTTTGGTTTCCAAATTCCACAATGTCCACTAGAAGCTGCTTTGATTGTCATCACACCAGAGATATCGCCATGGAATCCTTATGTTCCTGGTCAAGAAAGAAACAGCGAAAGATTAGACATGAAGCCAAAAAACTCCTTTCTCTTTATAAAAGTTTGCTGCTACCAAATTTCCTGGTATTCCCAAATGAATCCTCCACTCAACCAAGAATCTGCCTTCGATCTGGATACTTCAGATCCAGATTTAAACATATGGAGGTATTCACAACATTCGTCTCTGCTGAACCAATCCCCCTCTCTGCCTTTCCCTCCCTCCGTTGTGCCCAGGATGGGATGCCAAGGCAGGAAAGCCTCCTTCCGTCCTCCCTTCCTCCCTTCCTTCCTTCCTTCCTTCCTTCCTTCCTTCCTTCCTTCCTTCCTTCCTTCCTTCCTTCCCAGCTTCTTCTCCTCAGCCCAGTCATCCCTCTTCTCCTTTGCTTCTGTCCAGGGGACATTTCCCAACAGCTCAAGGATCTAGAGAAACAGGGCATTTCCATATAGGGAGGGAGAAATGTTTGCAGGAATTAAAAGAATGAAGTCCTGGCCTGGGGAAGAACGGGCATCTCCTCTGACCACTCCTCCCACAGAAGCTTCCTCTCAAACGCTCTCCCGTACGTGGGTGGGACAGAGAGGAAAGGGAGAAGCCAATGTGCCAATTTCCCCCCAGACATTAAATAAAAACAAGGGCCTCCAAGTCTGGCCTCTCAAAAGGAAATCCTAAGAAAGCTGGGGGTTTGGAAGAGAAAAAGTCTTCCCTGTGAAGCCAAAATTGAGATAACCACTTAAGGAGCGGTGTGGATCCCGTAACCAGAGCGCCTGCTACTTGTAAACCAGATCAACACATAGACCGGGTTTGAATGCAACAGGAACAGAGGTTTATTGCTTTGAGGGCTGAAAGAATGTCCGATATATTATTATTATTACTACTACTACTACTACTACTACTACTACTAGCTGTGCCCAGCCACGCGTTGCTTTGGCCCCTTGTGGAGAAATGGGAAAGAAAATAGGAAGAGCTGGTTTCTACACTATCAATACACAACTGAAGTGGCAAAGTGTCAACCTAAGATAGGCCCATTTCAGTCTTCTCGAGGCCAAAGGTTTATATGGATGTGTGGAAGGGGTTACCTGAGTCCACACTGACATATAACCCCATTAAAAAATATTATATAGGTATTATTATTATTATAGATGTATAGATATTATTATAGGCATGTAGATATTATTATTATTATAGACACAGATATTATTATTAACGGCATATAGGTATTATTATCATTATAGATGTATAGATATTATTGACATACAGGTATTATTATTACAGATGTATGGATATTATTATTACAGCCCTATAGATATTATAGGCATCTAGTTGTTATTATTATTATTATTATTATTATTATTATTATTATTATTATTATTTATATGATATAGCTGTTATTATTACAGAGGTGGAGCCCCTGGTGGCGCAATGGGTTAAACCCTTGTGCCAGCAGAAATGAAGACCGACAGGTCGCAGGTTTGAATTCTCGGGAGAGCGCAGATGAGCTTCCTCTGTCAGTTCCAGCTCCCCAAGCAGGGAATGAGAGAAGCCTCCCTGTAAGACTGTAGGATCTATATAGTAGGCCTGGTTGATCAAGAAAAAATTTGGTTCTAAAATCGATTTGTAATTGGGGTGTTTTTTTGTTTCGATATTTAAAATAATTACAAAATTTTCCCCCAAAAAAGTTTTGGTATTTACGAAATTTTGTAAATATTAACGAATTTTTAGAATATTTTTAGTATTTTTTAAGAATAATATTAAAATAATATTAAAAATATTTAAAAATGGAAAATTAACCAAAAAATGGCCCAAATGTGGACCAAACACAGGCAGGAGACAGCAAATGAGAGCACACACCAACAGAAGAGTCTTTTCTTTTTTAGAATATTTTTTAAAAATAATATTAAAATAATTAAAAAATAATATTAAAATAATATTAAAAAATATTTTAAAATGGAAAATTAACCAAAAAATGGCCCAAATGTGGACCAAACACAGGCAGGATACAGCAAATGAGAGCACACACCAACAGAAGAGTCTTTTCTTTTTTAGAATATTTTTTAAGAATAATAATAAAATAATATTAAAAAATAATATTAAAAAATAATATTAAAAAATATTTAAAAATGGAAAATTAACCAAAAAATTAAGAAACAAATTCACAAAAACCGAAGGAAGTAATGAATCCAAGCAAGGAATATAAGCAGCACTCACAGCAGCAAGGAATGAATGAATCCAATCCAGTTGCTCGCTAGCCATTGCCAAGCCAACCTCTTCTCTCTCCCTCGCCCTCTGCAGCAATGAGCTACGGCCGGCCGCGCGGAGCCGCTTTGAAAGGGCTCGCCGGCCAATCAAAAACAAACAGCCAAGGAGCACTGCTTGGGAGCGCCGGATTGGCTCCCAGGCAGCAGGCACCAGCATCCTCCATCCAATTTACGAAACAGGCGGAAGCTCGTTAAAAGGATGGGGGATGCCGCTTCGTTATTTTAAAACCCTTCCGGGTTTGGAAAAATGTTTTGATATCGCTTCGTAAATGCTAAAAATAACGAATGTTTTACGAATAACGAAATTAACGAACAAAACCGCACAGGCCTACTATATAGCAATATTAAATAACCACTCACAAGTCGTTTTTGCTTTGAAATGCAGCAAAGAAAGACACTACTGACTTTTTCCCACTGCCACTTCCTTTTATACACCTTTCCTGCCCATCTCACCCTCTTCTCAGTTTCCTTATTAGAGCTTGTTGCTTCACAAGTTACAATACAAGGCTTCCAGGGCCCTCTGCTGTCTTCAAAACGTCACACAGAGAGAGAATTGGTTCATTCTCTCTCTCAGCTGTTGGGTTTTTTTCCCTCCTGCAGGAGGGGTGCAGGGTCAGGAGGTTGTCGTTTTAACACATGCTCTGTATAGTCATTTAGCTTTGTGGCAGATTAAGTTCTTTCTGGTTATTTGGGGGGGGGGGTTGTGTGAAGGACATTGCTTTGGTAGGTGTCTTGTGTCCAAATTTGGTGTCAATTCGTCCAGTGGTTATTGAGTTCCGTTAATCCCACAAACGAACATAGTGGTAGGTGTATACTATTACAGCAGTGGTTCTCAACCTTCCGAATGCCGCAACCCCTTAATACCGTTCCTCATGTTGTGCTGACCCCCTACCGTAAAATTACTTTCGTTGCTACTTCATAACTGTAATTAGACTTTGACATTTAGGAGTTGTAGTTACTGGGATTTATAGTTCACCTACAATCGAAGAGCATACTGAACTCCACCAATGATGGAATTGAACCAAACTTGGCACACAGAACTCCCACGACCAATGGAAAATACTGGAAGGGTTTGGTGGGCATTGACCTTGAGTTTTGGAGTTGTAGTTCACCTCCATCCAGAGAGCACTGTGGATTCAAACAATGATAGATCTGGACCAAACTTGGCACGAATACTCAATATGCCCAAATTTGAACACTGGTGGAGTTTGGGGAAAAATAGACCTTGACCTTTGAGAGTTGTAGTTGCTGGGATTTATTGTTCACCTACAATCAAAGAGTATTCTGAACTCCACCAATGATAGAATTGGGCCAAACTTGGCACAGAGAACCCCCATGACCAACAGAAAATACTATGTTTTCTGATGGTCTTTGGCGACCCCTCTGATACCTCCTCAAGACCCCCGCAGGGGTCCCGACCCCCAGGTTGAGAAACACTGTATTACAGGATGTGCATATGTATGCTAAGTTTTTACAAGGATCATTGCCTGTTTGGGTGCGTGTTGAGGAAGAACACCTGGACAATTAAGCAATTAAGCTTGAGCCACTCCCTGAATGGAGTATATCATGAGGAGTGCTTCATGGTGTATGCAGAGATAGTGATCAGATGATCAGGAAGAGACCGGATGGGATTTCTATACTACAGGACTTGCTGAAGATCCTGAACAATTTACGACAAGACTCCTTGCACCAATGAAGGAACAGAGAATGCATGATTTTAATGCATTGGACTTTTGTGGGAGTTATTTTGCTGCAATGGACTAAGTTTATTTTCAAGGCTGGTTATTTTGTAAAGCTGCATATTTATCTCTGACTACTCAAGAGTAAATTTTGTTTTTCCTTTTATTTTGACTCTGTGTGATTCAGCTACTACTACTGGGTAGCTTCCGCATAGACTGATAAACCGCAACATATCCTGCCCTTCTCAACTCCAAAGGGGACTCAGGGCAGTTCAAAGTGTTGGCAACAGAGTCCCTGCTCTAAAGTAGCTGGGCGTAACCATGCAATGCAGTGCAAGGCATTTTATTCCCTTTGACAACAAATGAAAAGACCCGCTCCCTCCTTTGAGTGACTGAAAAGTGGTCAAGTGAGGATCTGGGCTGTCGTTGGCTGGGGACTCCCTGTGACATCAGAGATGGATGGAGACACCCTCGTGGCGGGGAAAATGAATAGCCGTCCTTTGCCCATTTGAAGCCGGAGTCGTTTTGAGGGTCCTCCCAGGCAGAGCTTCGTCATACGGTTTAAGGAAATGCAGAGCTTATGATGGGATTATAAGGGATGTCCGGAGTACAGAAAAGGAGTCAGCCTCTAAGACAGGGGTCCTCAAACTAAGGCCTGGGGGTCGGATATGGCCCTCCAAGGTCAATTACCTGGCCTCCGCACAGAATCAACCAAAGTCTGAAACACCTTCAAAGCACACAACAACAACAACAACAACAACAACAACAACAACAACAACAACAACCCTATCTCATCAGCCAATAAGTTTGAATTTGTTAAAATTGTTTGTATTTGTTAA